TTTAAAGTCATGAAACACTCAACGTTAGCATATTTCCTAAATTGTATTTTCTATATCTCAAAGCATAAGAAAGGCAAACACCATAATGATTATTAAGGTAGTAGTGACTTTTTTAATTTTTTAAAAATTCCAAATAGGAGACTGGTTATTATGTCCTGGGAAATTTTTAAGAATAGGCCTATTCCATTTAATAAGCAAATATTTAAGGGTTAGTGAATTTGTATGCTGTTTCCTAGACGTTAAGAGTGAAAGCACATTTATAAATAAGTAGTTGTTAGTGTTGTGTGTGTGTGTGTGTGTGTGAGAGAGAGAGAGAGAGAGAGAAGAGGGGATGACAGAGGGAAGGAGAGAAAGAAAGGGGAAAAGAGAAGCAGCATGGAAATAAATTTAAATTTCAAATGATTGCTTGCTTACAAATGCCTGGTTGACCTTAAAAAATCTAAATAAATCAACATTTTGACTGTGAACTACAAGTTTTATCAAAGTATGATACTCTGAAGGCACTATACTCAGAAGGCAGCACCTGGCCTACTTTAATTGCAGTTATTCCTGGCTGATTTGCCTCCACATTGGGGAACACAGAAGAGAACACTTTTCTTTTGCCATTAGCTCTAGGCCTTCCTTTCTGACTTATGAAGAAATATCAAAAGAACTAATATGTACAACTTGAGTAAACAGTGACTAAGAGGGGATATGCTAATTATGTGCAAGAGTTTAAAAGGTGCATACACGGAGGAGGGTGAGAAGTTATTTAGCCTGGTAGCTGAATATTGCCAGGAGACACAAAAGCACATTAAGCAAAGGGAGATTTAAACTAAACACTAGATCCCAGAATAAATATAATACTCAGCACCGTGAGCAAGCTTGTGGAAATTGGTTGAGATGTTTAAAATACCAAAACATTGGAATTTGCATTTCAAGTAAACATTTATGCAAGGGCAGAGAAATAATAGATAGGAGCAAAAGAAAGACCCAAATTGCAGCCATAGAGCTGGTCCACCAGAGAACTTAAGCACAGGTTATATGTCAATTTCTGACCTGAGAGTCTTCTAAAGCTTGAGAGAGTGAAAGGAAAAGGTGGCAGGGCTCTTGGGTTGAGAGCAGCCAGTCAGAGTGAACTGAAAAACAGGAGAAAAGGTGCCCCCAGGCGGACAGACACACTAGGGTGAAGGGAAAGGAGCACGAGATTCTGAGTGCATTTTAGAATTTTGTGCCTGAAGATTCACATGGTGTATTCCATGCCTTAAAACAAGAAACTACTCTTGCTGAGATTAAAAGAATGGCATTGTATCAAGCCTGTGTTCACTCGGGATTCTGCAGGTTTCTGAAACAATAACTCCACACAGCAGATAAATCCTCAGGACATGGCCAGAGATGTCCCTGTGCAGCCTGTCAACAGCAACGCACTCAGCACACCCTTTCTTTCCCAGTAAAATGATACTTTATTAGGATCATTAAAAGGGAGTGGATTTTTACACCAGCTTCTCTTACAGAAATATTTAGCCACCTTTCAGTACTTAGCTTAGCTCAGTTTTCTTAAGCCATACGAAGTGTTAGATCTGATGCTAGTATTCACATATGCTTGTTCAGCTGTGTCTCAGTCCGTTCAGGATGCTATAACAAAAATACCATAGACTGCATGGCTTATAAACAGCAGAAATGTATTTCTCACAGTTTTGGAAGCTGGGAAGTCCAAGATCAGAGTGCCAACCAATTTAGTGTCTGATGAAGGCTTACTTCCTGGTTCATAGATGGCCATGTTTTCACTATGACCTCACTTGGAGGAAGAGACAAAGGAGCTCACTGAGGTCCCTTATATAAGGACACTAATCTCATTCACCAGAGCTCTTAGCTCCTTCTTTATGATCTAATCACCTCCCAAACACCCTCCCTCCAAATATCATCACTTTGGGGGTTAAGTTTCAGTATATAAATTTGGGAGGAACACAAGCATTCAGTCTACAGCAAGCTAACTCAAAACATTTATTGAGTAACTAATCTGTGCCAAACCCTGTGCTAGTTCATGGGGATATTATGTGTAAGACATGGTCCCCAAGGAGCTTATAATTTGGAGCTTTGGGTTTCCAGCAATAGAAAGCTCCCATTTCCTATTAAATTACTATGGATTAGTGAGAAATTCCCAAGTGAAGTAGCAAAAATAATGCACTGTGGGCAAAGTCTCCTGTGAGTGTGAGTTGAACATACCAGGAGGAAGTGGCAGGGCACGCAAGAGTTTCAACCGGAGGATGAAAGGAGAAAGTGAAGCAAGAATGACAACAGGGCTGGCCCAGTGGTGTTGTTTAATATATTAAATTCTTGTCAGGCTGGTTGGATGAGGGACAGCAATGCTGTTTCTCTTACCTGTATTTGGTTAGTGTCTTCAGACTCCCCAACTCCACTGAGACACATCCGTGCAGTGTGTGCTGGAGACAGAGGCAGTCATTGGCATGGAGCAGCTATCACAGCAGAAGTAAAAAGGGTGTCTCTGCCTCCCGTGTGGGTCACTTACGGGAAACCTCCCCTTTCATCCTCCGGTAGTGTTGGGGGAAACTCTCCCCCCGAGACATCAGATTGAACATTTTACTATTTTATTATCTGCTTATCAGGAACATATGAGACTATTAATGCCTATATTGATATGTAAGCATACCAGGCTCCAAACCCAATAAATAATGCTTTATTTTCTTTCATTCATCTTAATGAATGAAAGATGGCACATACTTCCATATGTGCCATCTTTCTGAACTGATAGGGCTTTAGTTGGTGTTGCTAAACTAATCTTTTTCTCTCCTGCAACTGTTTGATTTCTTTTAGAAATTCAAAGCACAAGGTAGAAATCCATGACCCACCATTTCTCGGTATTTTATGGGAATCGAAAATAATTCACTGTTGTCCACTATCTCTAAGATTATTTCTTTTTCTTCTTCTGACAACTCAGTACCCACTTAGGAATAAGGTTTATGAGTATGTGGGAGGGCAGGAAAGAAATCCTAAAACATTCTGAAATCATCGCTAACTCTTTTCTCATTATAATCTATCGCTACTCTCAAAACCAATGTTATTTTACTGTCTATTCTACATGTGCACTCCAGGTTTTTAATGTGCTTGCGCCTATTTCAACCTGATAAATAAAAAACTGATTGTCAAAATTTCCATTGGTCTTCAGGGTATTTATGTTTGGACAGAAGATTCTTAGCATCAAATAGTTGGCCTGACTCTCAGTCCATAGATGCACATATGCAGGAAAGATTTCTCTCTCTCTCTCTCTCTCTCTCTCTCTCTCTCTTTTTTTCCCTTTCAAGCCCAAATCCTTCCTTGTTATTCCAAAAAAAAAGTGGCCTATTACCCTTTCTGAAAGTTCTGGGTTCTTGCTACATTCTACTTGTGTACCCTGTAAAAGCAGATCTCACTATTCACTTGAATGTGGGGTAGGAAAAAGGAAAAAACACAGATAAGATAAAAACACCTTTTATAAATAATATTCAGCTGTATACTATAGACTACTTTTTAAAACATTTTGAGTAGAAGCATGTGCTAGATAATATACAGAACTTCAGAACCAAATTATATTACTATTGCCTCTTTGTTGTTGGGATTGTAAAGTGTCCTCAAAACTAGTGAGATTGATAATTGACAGAAAACTTAAAGTTTGGATAATTCCAGTTTTGTTATAGAATGTTATCAAAGAGGCCCTATCTCTTACTGGGGGCCTGGTTAACAGGCTTAGCTGATATATTTGCACAGTAAATTCATCTCCTTGCTAGTTGTCTATTATGTTAAACTGACCATCAGGGAATTTCCAAGAAAGAAAAACAGTGTGTGGCATTTGAACAGAGCTAAAAATTGGCGGAATTTAATGTAGGATAATGGGAGCAAGATCCCATCATGGTGGCAGGACTGTGTTCTTTAACACCCTCCCATTTGCTCTACCCTAACCCAAGCAGCAGTAGAGTTTTGGAATTTGGGGGCACAGGGGATTCCATTTAGTTAAAGTCCATGGGCCTTTCTGGACAAGCTCTGGCTGAACCTTTCCAGCTGCCCAATTTCATTTCCTCTTCGCCTTCTCTTTCCCCTTTTCCTTTTTCTCCCTCTCTACTTCTTCTTCCTTATTTCTCTCTCCATCTCTTTAGAAACGAATGCATTTAATCCATTAAATTCTGCATCAGGGTAATTTAAACAAGCTTGCCTATCTTGAGATAAATGCACACAAAAAGATCAATTTTGTAGATCTTTCCCAAAAGGGCCTCCATATACCTAATACCAATTTGTAAGCCAGTAATATTTAGCTCCCTGCCCTCAGCCTTAGATGGCACAGTTTATCACAAAACACACCATCCACAGCAAATTCTCATGCATCTGGCCCATGACCTGAAAGCCTCAATGATGACGTAGTGTGGTGCTGCAGAACAAAGAAACCACAACTGCAAGACAGGGTTAAATCTGGAGAAGGGTGATGGTTTCTCAAAACAAGCCACTTCTCCTTCTAATAACCACTTTGGTGTAAAGAGTGTTTTGCAGCACGGTGTCATTAATGATGTCACTCATATCCTGTCAGAGCACCTTACAGCCTGTGTGCACCTCCCCACAGCCCCCATTTATTTCCAAACCTTTAACCAATGACTGATGGGCCTGGACATACAAGCACCCCAGCTCCTTGCCTCAGGATCGGGAGAGTTGTGAAGTGGGACACGTGCTGCCCCGAGACCTCCCTGAAAGACAGAGTCAGAGTTGCTCTCTGTGGGACTTAGCTTGGCTTCTTTCTCTTCCAGGTCCCACTTTCCTACTCTCCTACCAGTTTTTCCTGAGAATACTTCCTACTTAATCACTTTCACAAGACTTTTTGTCTTGGGGTCTGCTCCTGTGGAATCTGATGTCAGACAAAGCACATTGTCAAATTATTGAAAAGCCATGTGGATTTGTTGTTGTTAAAAAGAAAAATGAGGTGATCGCTTGTATATTTTAGACTTTGAAAGACAATCTTGCAAACCTCTGTGTTTCAGGAAGAGAATTTGAAGGAGAAGAAGAATACCTGGAGATTCTCGGCATCACCAGGGAGCAGTCAGGCAAATATGAGTGCAAAGCTGCCAACGAGGTCTCCTCAGCGGACGTCAAACAAGTCAAGGTCACTGTGAATTGTGAGTATAGCAGGAGTCAGCAGGTGCCATGTGCCCAGGGTGCGCCTCCACCTCCAGTGAGCTTTAAAGATTCCATTAGCAAAAGAGCATTGCATTTCAAGCAGATGCTCCTCTGGTCAGGGATGCGCATTTATACATTGAACACATCCAAGGGCAGGACTTGGCCTTTGAATTTGATAAATCAACTCTACCAATTCTAAATGTAATCCATAATACATTTAACAATACCCTCTGTCTTTTACTCAGACTAAAGAATTAAGAAGACATGATCAGACAGCACTAACATTTCTGGCAGTCACTATTCTGGTCTTTGTGGAAATCAAGGTCATACTACTTTGGAAAAAGCAACAAATCATATCTGCTTTAACTGGAATTTCCATCTCAATGCATTGTTTGTCAGAAGGGAATACCTCAAGATTATATTTTATCCTCTGCTATTTAACTAATTGGCCTTGAGAACAAATTTAAGCCACCGTGGTCAGATACCGTGTGTCCCTGATGGCTAACAGGGATACCTGATAAGTTAATTTGGGTTATCTATTTGTCCCAAAGCATAAGCATTAGAAAGGAAGATTTCACTAAGATGCATAGGTAAGTGGGCATACTTTGAACTTCTCAGATGAAAGGATTCTTAGATGTAGTTCAAAAGGGGGAGGGGGGAGGATCCATATGATATGTGTCACCCAGCAAAGGAATAAAGAGAATTCGTTTATCTTGTTCAGTTAGGAGTGACTTTCTTCATCATTCAAATTCAAGTTCTCACATCATACAATTGTGGCTAGCGACAGGGACAAAAGGCTGTTCTGACAGTTCTCTCCTATGCATTTAACACACACACCCTACATACACACATGTGCACACCTAACTCACATGCATGCACAAACAATTTAACCTATATTTGAAAGTATCCTTTAGGCCATAATGAGCTGCTTTCTGTCATCTTAAGTCCTCTCTGTAGTTACCTAGGTGCCCGAAATTCTATGTGATTTCTCTCTATTCTTCTCAACAACCCTGGCAAGGTAGATGTAATTGAGTCCATTTTAGAGTGTATGAAACTAAAGCTCAGGAGGTAAAACTGCCTATTCAAAACAACACAGAAAGCAAATGTAAGAAAAGGGATTCAGACTCAGGTCCACTTGGTTCCAAAGCCTCTGCTCTCATGAAGAAGAGGAGGAGAAGGAGAAATTTTCAATTCTTCATACTCACCATATGCAGTGTTAGATTAAGGGATTTACATTTGCCATCTAATTCTCACAGTAAACCTATGAGATGAGCATCATTAGTCTTTAAAAATTTGGAAACTGGGGCTTAGAGAGCTAAGGACACCTGTTGAGGTGCCCCAGTCTGTGCTAGGATGCACTATTACCTGTGGCCTTGCCCCAGCCCTGTAGCCTTCTTCAGCAAGCAGCAAAATCTCCTTCACACCATACCTAGAAGGATCCGGTAGATCTGACTCTGCTGTAGTTTGTAGTACTCATTTCCAAGAAGCAAGGAGCTGTATTTCATGAGCTCTGAAGTGCTTCTATTTCTCACTGTCTTTGAATTTTTTAGTAATAGAGGTTTGAAATGCCAGTATTACTATTCTTTTCTAGTGCTGGGTGTGTTTCAAAGACACATTAATGATCGCAATGTTATAAAACGCTTTAGGACCTTTCTTTCACATGAAAGGCAACTTCTCTGGATGTTTGTATAAGTTTATAATTAGGTTAGCTTCTTTTATGTACACATAACCATGCCATCATCTTCCATCTCTTCCCTGACTTTTACAGTCAAGATTTCATTTTCTCTTAATTGACCTTCATCTTAATTAGATTTTGGAAAGTCCAATCATGAAGTACATAGAAAATATTTATGCTTCCATTGTGTGAAACATCAAAGTGGTCTGGATTGCAGATGGTTCCCCAGATCAAAGCTAGCCGCCTGGGCCCTATTATTATTAGCGCAATTAGTCTGACATTGCTCTTTCTTGACTGTCCCCGAAGTGTAATTTAGAACAGAAGAAAATACTGATAATTTTCAAGAAAAGACTTTTATGAAAAATGTGAGCTTTTGCTACTGATGAGTGAATGCAAAAGAATATGGACAGAACCTCAAGATTCTAAAAAGACAACTCATAATGAATTATATGAAAAACTAAAGAGTTGGGTCAAACATCTGATATGTCCTAACCAGCAGGCCTCAGCACAAGCCTGATCTTATAAAAATTGCTCAGGAAATGTTTACTGAATGAGTAGGTGAAAACCTCACGCATAAACTCTTCCCTGCTAACATTTCTCTAAACTTTGCAAAATATAGTTGTATTAAATAGATGGTGTCTCTGAGATTGAATTACAGAACCAGGTTTGCTTAATGAAACTCTTGCATACAAGAGGAATGTCCAGGATCACCGTTGTCACTCCATCTGAGCCTGTCTGCTATGAAATGTCCCATTATTTAAATGATTTATCTTCCTTTCAAAATATGGGCTTTGGAATTAGGTTGGGGATCAGGATGGTTAAGATAAGTACTGGTTGAATAGATTATTCTGATGAACAGACCCTGAGTACCACAAAAAAAAAAAAAAAAAAAAATCACAGTGCTGGTAACTTTCTCTCACCAGCATATTCTTGATTCATTTGCTCAGTTGCCAACAGCTGCTTCCTGCAGGATACTGAGAGGCTAGAGCAGTAAACAAGAGGGGCATAACAGTTTCTCCTCCTGTGCTCACAAGCTAGATCCCATGGTCTCTCCTTTTGGCTTCTCTTGGATAACCCTTCTTTCTAGTAAGTCTAAAACATTGCCCACAGCCATTTTACATGCAAAATCTATTTTCTAAGTGGTAGGAGGTCCTGAAATTTACAGAAAGCTAAAATATTGGCTCAAAATTGCAACAATTAAATAAGCTTAGTAGCATTTATATAGTAGACACATGACTTTTGGCTTTCTATATCTTACCCACAGTGTAGCTTCAAGTTTCTTTCAGTAACTGGTCCTAAGGACAGTCTGTCCTTTCATTGCAGGTTCTAGCTGTAATCCCTCAATTTCAGTCTCAGAGTGCATTTAAAGTATCTACTTTGGCATTTATCTCACCCTTGTACCCAGTATCCCTAAGATAATATCTAGCACCTATTAAATGTTGACTAAATACAGATTATTAATTTTATTTGGACTCTTTCTATACTAGACTTTTTTCCTATTCCTGAAGAAATTCTTCTCAAAAGCTGGTTCCAAATGCTGTCCCCCATGCCACTGACCAGCCAATGTACCCATCTGCTGTCTTCCCACAGCTCTGTCTCCAAATAGGTTCACATTATCACTCTTTGCAACTTCATTTTCCTTTACTCATTTCTCTTGGAACTCAGCTCTGCCTCCACCCTGGTGTCCAGAGCTAATCAACCCAACCAGCACAATTGCTTGGGGACCTACGATGTTGACATTTCTAAATGTAAGCCCACTTTTACATTTGATAGCCATTTATTTAGGGGAAGCAGACACAATTGGGACTGAAGAAAACTTTAGCCTCCAGATAATGTATATGTACTTTAACTGGAATCTTCAGTGCTTTGATTCAAAAAATCACCTAATAAGGAAACTTTCGGAAAACAATTACTCGATATGAAATCAGACTGGCCGACTTCTCTAGTTATTCGCAACTATACTTTTCCAATCTCCATAACTACCTTTAGTTTATTTTTGCATTTGGGAAGTTATCAATAGAGACACATCCTAATATGTATATATCTACTGTGAGATCATCAGAGAAAATCTTCAGTAGGAATCCAGAGTGCTACAACTTTCTACTGCAATTTTGTAATAGGAATAAGAACCATAATTTTCAGAGCACCTTCAGAGTACCAAGACTATCCTAGAGATTTCATATCCATTCATTGTCATCATTACACATTGACAGTGGCTAAGAAAATGGAGAGTGGCCTGGTCTTCCCTAGCAAGGAGGAGTATTTACTTTATCACGGATATTGTTTAGTGTGTTTAGTATTGCTAGCACATGATGATTAAGAAAAAAAGATAACTTAGTCAACCTTATTATTTCTAAATTCTCTACATACAATGCCTTTCTTATTGCTTCCACCCTTTGCCTCTGCCGCCTTGTTACCCCACTGTACACTAACCCTGGGAAATAACCCATAGCATCCCTATGTAGAGAGGACAAAAACAAAGGCCAGCAAATGTAAGCATTCTCCACCACAGAATCAAAGAATTTGTGAGTGGTAGACTTGGGACTCTAACCTGGGTCTAACTCCAAATCCTCTCTCCTTCCATTACAACATGTGAATAATAGTACTATAAAAATAATAAATGTAATCACTTTAGGTGTTAAAAGTGCTCTCATATGAATGATTTCATTTGATGTTTATATTAAACTATGAGATAAGTACATAAGTGTCATCATCTACATTCACAGTTGAGGGGCTGCAGGAAGACATCATGTCTATTGTGACAACCTAAGTGGCACAGGTGAAAATTGAGCCTGCATGCATCTCCTGACTCCTCGTGCAGGTTTATATCCACCATGTCATCACACATTGTGCCAGTTTGGGGTACCCTGTAAATTGCAGAAATGCAACATTCATCTTTCCACCTACCAGCATGCTCTTCTGAATAGTATTTTTCCTTATTAGGAATGCATTGCTCTCTGAAAGAACTCATTCAAATAGAAGTGCCACAGCAGAGAGATTCAGAGCATGAGTTTCAGAACATCATAGACTAGGGTTCAAATCCATATTCCACCAAATACCGACTATATGAATTTGGACAAGTTACTAACCCTTTGTAGGCCTGTCTTCTCTTTCATAAAATGAGTTAATAATACTTACCTCCTAGGACTATTATTTGAATGAAAGGAAAATCTAAAGCCTAGTAGAGTGCTGACATATGGCAAATGCTTATACATTAAATTCTTCATTCAAAATTTTATTATTTCATACTATTATTCCCAATATTAGTAAGATTAAATGAATGATATTTTGTTTTCTATACCACTGTCATTGTTATCTTATTTATTCTGATTGAAAGAGTCTTGTTATTGATAATGTCAGAAGAAGAAAGGCCCTATTAATATTTTCAGAACCTGGAAATTTGAAGCAATAAATACTGAAGAGTCCTTTGACAATTGTAAACTATTCCAAAGTCATGTAAAAAATAACAGTGAACCTCTCTGTGCAACACTTTTATGAAGCCACATTTTATTATAGCCATATTTTGAGCAAGGACATCTATTATTTTAACTACAGTAGGCATGCTGCAGTATAATTTATAATTATAATCTTTCCTAGCCTCATCTATACAGAATTCATTACAAATCAATTTCAAATGTTCATTCCAATAAGCCATAAAAGAATAGACCTGCATCATGTTATCATTTGAGAAATATTAGGAACAATGAGCTTCTTGTACATTCATCAGAATTCATGGATTTACCCTGGCATAAGAAACTTCCCATGTTTTCAAAGAGAGAAGCAAATGGTTGGAATTTTTAATTGGTGAACGTCATCCTGTCCCGAGACTAATGCATTTACAAGTGCTTAACCCTATTTTACTGCCAGCTTCCCCATACTGGGATCTCTGAGGAGCTAACAAATAGCTCAATACTTAGTCACTCTGGTTCCAAATAAATTGAGAAATAAGTGAAGAAATAATCTGACAGACCTAAATCTTCCCATTTCTAGAGATCAATGTGGTTAGATGTAGTAGCTTAGCATGTCCTACTTACCTCCCCAGTCAAGGCAGCCTGGGCTGGGGTGGGCCTGCCCACCAGATAGCAGGAAGGGGGGAGCCCAGGTAAGACTTCCCACATGCAGAAACAGAGGAGAACCTCTGCTCTCTGACAGAAGCTTGGTCCCAAAAGAAGGGAAAGAGGTGAGCCAAATAGGCCCATGTTTTCTTCCCAAATTTCTCAATCAGAAAAATCATTCCTTTTCTCCGAGTCCTCAAGCAGTAGGCACACTAAAAAAACTGCTGCCGAATAACATTCGGCAACATTCAGAACAAGGAAGAACTCTCTGCAGAAGTGAACAGCTGGGACCTGCATTCCTGGTCTCGTGGAGAGGGACTCGAAGGCATTCAACCATGGCAATATTATATAAAGGTGCCACCGCTATGAACCCCAGAGGTGATGGTGGTAGGAAGTGTGGAATCTGGCTTAGGTTTAGGGCTGGTCTAGCAAAGCAATAGTCATCATTAAGGATTTGTCAGTTATAACCATGTGGATCTAGAAACTCACAAACGCTGGTTAAAACTCATTTTGCAAATTGTGAAACTGAACAAACCAATATAATCATAAGCAAAATGAACTCTCCAGCCAACATTGGTGGGTCACCGTGCTACATACAGATTATACAGTCCTTGGCAGTTTAAGAACAATACAGGGAAAATAAGTAAGAATGTGAAATTAATTTATTGAGTATTTTATTGCTGGTCATCTATTTCTTTTCTTGGGTATCTTACCTTAGTTTATGGCATCACCCAAGCCTGAAACCTGAGTGTTATCTTTTTCACACTCCTTCTTTCCCTTCACTCTTCACATCTAATCCATTGTGAGTCTCATTAGTCCTGAGGCCACATAGATCTCAAATCTATCCATTTCTTTCCAGCCCCTTTATCACAAACCTAGTACAGACATCTCTGAACTCCTTCAGCAGCTTCCAAATGAAAGTGCCTGTCTCGGGTTCCGACATTTTATAGATGAGGAAATTGAAGCAGTGTGACTCTGGGCAAAGTACTAAACTCTCTAATAAGGAGGGAAGATGATGGGCAGAGCCTGCATTTGAGCTCAGGTCTATCAAACTTTAAATCTGAGCTCACAACCTCTGTTCTATGTTCCATCCCTATACTAATACCTCCCCTGCCAACACCACTAGCACCAATTATTCCTTTATCCTTTGAACCGATGTACTCTAATGATCCTATATAACCAATTATAGAATGAAAGACTTTTAAATGGAGCCATGGTGATCATTTTAAGTTAGCTCCTACTTTTAAAAGATGAGAAAGAAAAGACTGGTACAGACGTTTGCCCCGACCACATTTCTCATTAAGAGTAGTCAAATCAGACCTCAGGTTTCCTATTCCTGACTGATATTTCAGATTTCTAACTCACGGAATCATTAAATGAGTTGTAATTTGGAAAGTTCAGAATTGAAGGGTTAAATGAGCTAAGGGTATGAAAATACACTTGGGTTACAATGATACCAACTTCCCATATGTATAGAATGGGCAGTTTTGACTAGAATTGGAATATTTTATAGCTGGAAAGGATGCTATCAATCATTAAACCGTGGTTCCCTCATTTTATATGTAATAAAACTAAGGCAGAGAAAAATAAAGAGTGTGATCAGAGGTCCACCCAACTGAACTGAAATTAAATCCCAGGACTCCTGCTTTTCAATCCAGGGTTCTTTCTACTACAACATCTTGCCGTTCTGTGCTTATATGAAAATAAGCAGGTAAGTGTAAAGCAAACCAATGACAACAACAAAACAACAAATTGTTTAGGTCTATTTTTTTCCACATGTACACACACAGCCAAGTGGACATTACCTGGCAGGTGATCTTAGGACAGGACAGTCCCTCTCTCCTTTGAAGGTCCATAACCTGCACAAACAGAACCGTGCACAAGAGCTCAAATCTACAATCCTGTCATGGTCATGTGCACCTGTAAACACTCATTCCATCCTTGTAGGATTGTTTGAAAACATCACGGCAAATTATAATGTCAGATGTGTTTCTGAGATCATTTCAAGCCTGTCACAGTTTCGTAGGCCCATTCCTGGGCATAAAAATCAAGTATGCAACTGCCAGAGAAAGCAGAACGCTGACATGCCAGGAAGTCTTCCATGCACTAGAATAGACTTCAAACTGAGCCCCCACAAATAAGAGCAAAATTTACCTGATTCATAGTTATAAGCAAACACACAAGAGAAAAGAAAGTAAAATAATCACCTAATACTAGTTTTTGTTTGTGTATTTTTGAATTCCTGCCATTATGTCAGGCCAAGCTTGGGTTATGAGGCTTTAGTACTCTATTATTTTCACTGGATTCCTCAAAGCCACCTCAAAATATAATAATTATAATAGTAAAGAAAAAAAAGTGGTAAAATTATAGATTCAAAACCCCAAGCCCTTTGGCATCACCACTTAATTTATGAAAAGAAATGACTATGCAAATATTTACAATCTACAGTTGGAATGACTGATAATCTACTACAGAAGGGAAAAAGAAATTCTAGGTTCCATTTCCATAAAACCCTGTTAAGTGCCTCATTTAAGTAAACTAAGTCTATATTTTCATTACAATCTCTTATTTGTATTTAGTTTTCTAGGGATCAGTCCCATTCAGCTGGTCACATAGTTCATGTAAATGAAACTTTTAAGACAATTCCTTCCCTGCCTCTTTCCATCAGATTGTCCTTTTTAATTCCTTCCTGAATGGAAATTCTGGAGCACCCTCTGATTCATATAAACCTTTGTGCCTGTCCTTCCTGCAGATCCTCCCACCATCACAGAATCCAAGAGCAATGAAGCCACCACAGGGCGACAGGCTTCACTCAAATGTGAGGCCTCGGCAGTGCCTGCCCCTGACTTTGAGTGGTACCGCGATGACACCAGGTATGTGTCACACCTGTCCCTCTGCTCCGCTAGGTGGTCCTGGAGGCACCAGAAGCCCCGTGACAAAACCAAGCCAGTTGTAATTATGTAGAACTGTACTATTTAACTCTTCCTTCCTAGTACCTCTTTATCAAATGCTTTGGGGTCTGCAGCTCTTAAGCCAAAACCCAAAAGTAGTCAGCTAAAATATAAAAATGGCGAAACATGCAGCTTCCACCTGCGTGTCTTTCTTGCCTATAACAGAAACTCAAAAATGTTCCTGAGTTTTCTCTGTCAATGGACATTGAGTTTGATAATATGGCATTGCACAATTAAAATTAAGAATTGAGCAGAGAACAACAAGCTCTAACTACTTTCTTTCTCTCCTTTTCCTCCAGTGTAAAGATGGGAAAGAGTTACTGAGCTAAAACGTTCACCACTGTTCCTTTTTATTCTTCTGTTTTTGAACTCTTAGGATAAACAGTGCCAATGGCCTTGAGATTAAGAGCACGGAGGGCCAGTCCTCCCTGACGGTGACCAACGTCACTGAGGAGCACTATGGCAACTACACCTGCGTGGCTGCCAACAAGCTGGGGGTCACCAATGCCAGCCTAGTCCTTTTCAGTAAGTATGCCAAAGCAGGGCCAACTCGGCAGAATTAAATTGAATTCTCACACGGAAAACTTGAAACTCATTCCCTTATATATTAAAGGTAAACTTATATTATTAATACAGAAATGAGGGTATACTCACTAAGACAGAAACACAGGAGTTTCAATCCCTGTGCATAAGGAGAGATTTACAAATAGAGTAACTTCTCTCTATATTCTGTCTTGCTTTTGGAAACTGCCTTGTTTTTGTTTCTTCTCTTTAGTTTTTTTTTTTTTTTTTTTTTGTCCTTTGGTTGGTTAAACTGAAAGAATATTCAGAGAACACAAGTCTCCTTGGTGCTGTTCTCTTTAAGAAGCAGAGGTGATGTAAGAGCCTGGAAATGGATGGCAGCTAAAAAATGGCAGTGATAAGAGTGATTGAGAAAGGAATACTCAGTGAGAATGGATAAGGTGCTAGGAGGAGGGAGTGGCTGGAAAAAGAAAGTGTATTTTTAACAACACAAGAGGAAGGGTGGAATGAATGATTAAAACATAATATAAAACCTAAAGGAGGAAAAAATCATTGCAGAAAGGTTTCTATGTGACAGGAGACATTACTTTTCTGATATATTTTTGGAACACAGATAGAAACGGTAGGAAAGAGGAACATTTCTGAAGACCAGAGAAGATCCTGAAAGCAGACTAAGGAGGAATCAGTCATTTCAAAGTTACTGATGTTAGCAGGTGACCTCACCTTGGAGTTTTGCTTTTTAGCCACATGTCACAGTCAGGTTTCTGACTCTTCTCCCTTGTTGATCAGGTGGCTATGAGCATAGAAAAGAACACCTGCCCCACCCCAAGAAACAGAATGAGGATGAATGGGATCACAGGAAAAAGATAACATTTGGGATAGGGGCACGTTTATCAGAATAAATAAATCAAGCAAAATAGTAAGCATGTGCTGAGTCAGAAAGTTCATTTGGACTAAATGGAAAGGTCCAAAGAATGCACTATGACTATTTTGGAAAAGCAAACAACGAAGAGTTTTTTTCTTCTGCACAGGTTCAATTGGTAAAACTAGAAATACTATGATCAGAAGAAATGTCTCCTTCTTGCTTTATTCCATTTAGATGAGCCTTCAAGAAAAAACAAAATGATTTTTAGAAAAAAAAATCAATTTAAGTGAGAGTTCTCTTAAAATGTAGTGTTAAAGCCATTCTAAAATTGTTTGAGATCCAACTCTACTTATTAAAAACAACAACCACAAAATACTCTAAATTTGGCCTTCAGTTTCTCATTCATAGCTCTCATTGTCATCAGTATGTGACAGTTTGATGGGATACAGCTATACAAATGCTGCACCGATATGAAGTTTAAAATTCATAGCCTGTTTACTTGTCTCCAAATACCAAGCATCAGTATTCTTTGCTTCAACTAGAGACATCAATATCCCCAAGACACCTGGGAAGATATTTACTAAGAAATGCAATTACTTGATTCACTCCTAACATTCGAGATTTCATAAGTAGAGAGAAAATACCAGCTTCAACTATGAATTTGAGATTCTGAAAAACCTAAGGTGACCTGGTTAAGTAGAAAACAATATACACCTAACAAGAAGGTTTAATAGAGATTAGAAAAGAGAAAATGTAACAACTGGATTAGTTAGAGAAAGTAAGCAATTATATATTTACATTAAAGTATATTTTCTTAGACTAGACTAAGAAGTATACTAATGTTATACTTCAAATAATAAGTAAAATGTTGCCTATAGACTGAGAGAGAGGAAAAGGAAGGAGAGTGGGAAGATGGAATACTTGAGTAGAAGAGAGCATGGACTAGGTAAAAGGCAATGGAGAATCTGCTGGTGGTCATGGAAGGTAATCTCAAACTCTCTAAAGCCAGTGCCCCATCACAGAGGTCCATTTAAAGAATTTAACTCAGTAAAATTAGGAAATGTCAAAAATCTAATAGAATTTCTGTTTGTAAATTGAGAATCAAGGAATCACACAAGTGTATCATATCATACTGCCCTTTATGATTTGGTAGACATCACTCCCAATTATATTATATTTGAGAAGTGCATGGTGTAGGGATTAATGATGTACTTCTTTCCGATGGGCCCACACAGGCTCTACTGAGGTTCTGTGATTAGCAGGATGCAGAGGCAACATATGCATCAGCATTTGGTTTGCAGTTGATTTCCCACCTTTATGGAAAGTTAGGAGGTATAATCCAGAAAAATAAAATATGAAAGGTCATTAGGCTTTGAGGTGAAAGAGAGCTATTAAAATTGCAGAAAATTAATGAGTCTATTGTCCTGTTTCTTAGACCCAGTGCATAAGTGTGAACATTTTAAAAGGGGAAACTCTTTTTTCTTTTGTAACAGGTATGGCACTCTTTTCAACCCCTTCCCCACACCTCCACTACCACCACCAACGCCACCAATTAGTTTTGGGAGGTGCATTGTTACAACCTGCATAGCTACAACTTTGAAGAGGCTCTATGGTAACATATTTCACACAGGGACAAAAAAAAGAAAAATAGAAGGAGGGAGAGAAAGGGAGGGAGAGAGGAAAGAAGGAAGGAAATAAAGGAAACAAAAAAACATGAAAGTATACATGTGAGTAGATTGACCAATACTTAGATTCAAAGTAAATGGGATTATGGAAAAAGGAAGACACTGTGCAAGTGTTGGTAGTGGTGCTTTTCCACAAAACCATGTCAGGAGTGGGGAGATGCTTGGAGTGGGCATCTATGGCCCCGTGGCCCTGACGGAAGCACTGTGTGGGCAGCAGGGTGCTCTGCTGACCAAGCCGGGCCGGAGGAGACCAGGCAGCTGGCAAGCTGCTGGCAGCCAGAGGCAGCAGCAGGTAGAGACCCAGAGCCAGAGCCCCCGAAGAGTTCACAATTATTCATTTTTGTTGGTGCGTCAGCACATCTTCAGCCACATCCACCACAGTAATGTGCTGAGTTTCCACATGGTGTCAATTTGCGGTCACATGCACACATATACGTCTTCATTCTCTATTCAAATATTGATCTCTAAAGGGGTCAAAATAATTGATTGAAAGTGCAAGGATACACTGTATTCATAGTAATTTTTTCCTAAGCCATTGGAAGCATCCCTTTCTCATCTGTCTTGTTTTCTACACATTCTAGCCCTCTGTTTGTCAAAGATCCGTACTACCTCAGTCTATATATCCATGTAAATGCCTTTTATATCTTTTTCTTTATCCCTGGGCTAAGCGTTACATTGCATAATTTTTCTGAATGTATTAACCAAGTGGCATAATGTGTATGGGCAAGGATTCAGCTTCCTAGTCTTTGCCAGACAGGGGAAATGCATCACACAGATGAAGACTGTTCTAGTGATGCCAAGAGAAGTTCCATTGTCTGCGTATGTAACATAACAGATTCTGTGTTTCCACACTGATGACTAAAATACACCCACCAAGGTGATGGGTTTATCTTGTTTCATGCTTATGTTGAGTTAGTTTTAAAGCAGTGGATGCAAAGGAAGAATAAGGATGATGATTGAACTGTTATCACTTCTTATCAAGTGAGTGCTTACAATGTACCCTGCAGTATGTACTGTACTAAATGCTTCACATATATAATCTTATGTAATCATCACAACATGCCTACTATGTACTCGTGTTTCTCCACTACATAATGAGGTTAAGTAACTAGTGCAGCTAAGTAGTGCTGATTTAAATTCAGGTAGTCTGTTTCCACAGTCCAGGCTCTAGACCAACACATTCTGTACATTTGTGTATATGGGAAAAAATGTTAAGAGATATACCTTGTAGTTTCAAGGTGAGCAGACATCTAATTTCTTTCTCCTTTTTTCACTTAATGAGGCCTTTACACTTGCTGTATGCTGCTTTATTCTTTCCTATCCAACAACACTGCTCCGGCCACCCCCTACTGTCATTTCCATGAACCCACACTAGCCTGGGTACACTAGATTAGTTGGACTGTTGGCTTATCTTTGATATGTTGGGATTCTCAGCTAACACTACAGCCTAGTCAGTGGTTAGCATTTGGCTCTAGGAGAAAAATATTCCCAAACTTTAAAGGACAATCCGACTGATCTATTACCTTATACTTTAGAGAAATGTATACAAAAGAATAAAAATACAGTGACATCTACAGTGGGCTGTGCCACATCAGTGTTTAGGAGGTATTTTTAATTTTAAAAATATCATTAACTTGTAAACCTGTAATTAACTAAATTTCAAGTACCGCCTAAGCAACCCAGCACTAGAGAGTGAGTGTCTTTATAATGAAGGCCTCCCCCTTTTCTTTAGAAACCATTGTGAGTTATTATCTAAAGGGCTTGGTATTTAAACATACACCACTTGATGTTAGTTAAAACTTGGCAAAGCCTCTTAACCAGTTACTTTTAGATGCCACATAATAAAACAATTTGAGCTGTTATCTACCCATATTTTTGAAAACTAGCTGCAAATTCCTTAAATGGGCTCTCTGTGGGTATAAAAGAAAACAGGTGGGCACTTGGACTAGTTTTCATTTCAAGAATAGGCTTTAAATATGTTGACTTCTAGAAAGACCATTAAACCTTTGCAACACCTACTAGAAAATAAAAGAAAATCCTATGTGAGTTAATACATTACCTCAATATACGCACTCTACCCTCAACTCCAGCTTTTGCCATTTATGTGACCATAATCCAAAGGACTTTCTTGTTAAATATTAATACCCATTGGTTGTTTCTTGTGGCGCTCCAGCAGAATTAGCCAATAACACCTCTACCCACTCCCCACCACCACCCACTTAGCAGATAAGAAACCAAACCTCAGAGTTAGGGGACTTGCTAAGAGCCACAGCATACAGTGCTAGGGCCAACCTCAAGGTTCTATTCCTAAAACCTCCCAATCAGCTGCTAAGCATGTTCATCTCTTCAAGTATTAGCAGACAAAGGAAAAGCACATAGCACCAAGGTTTCATTCTTCCCATACTTTTGAAAATCAAAAATTGGTAAATTTCTTTTTATTTTAAGTGGTATTTACTTCACTTTACACTCTTCCCAAAAGCCCACAAACCCTGGTATAAACTATAAAACAACTGCAAACTAGTTCAACCTCTGTGGAAAGCAATATGGAGATACCTCAAAGTGATACAAGTAGATCTACCATTTGATCCAGCAATTCCACTACTGGGCATCTACCCAAAAGATCAAAAGTCACTTTATGAAAAAGACACCTGCACTCAAATGTTTATAGCAGCACAATTCACAATTGCAAAGCTGTGGAAACAACCCAAGTGCCCATCAATTCATGAGTGGATTAATAAAATGTGGTATATGTATACCATGGAGTACTACTCAGCTTTAAAAAACAACGGTGAGATAGCACCTCTTGTATATTCCTGGATAGAGCTGGAACCCATTCTACTAAGTGAAGTATCTCAAGCATGGAAAAGCCAGCACCACATGTACTCACTAGCAAATTGGTATTAACGGATCAACACCTAAGTGGACATATAGGAGTAACATTTATCGGGTGTTGGGAGTGGGGGGAGGAGAGGATGGGTTTATAAAACACAATGAGTGAGATGTGCAACGTTTAGGGGATGGACATGCTTGAAGCTCTTACTCGAGGGGGGGGCATGGGCAATATATGTAACCTTAACACTTGTACCCCCATAATACGCTAAATTAAAAAAAATTGAAAAAAAAATAAACTATAAAACAGCAGCAGATTAATGGTGGAAGGATTATAATAAAAAGCTAGGATGGGGAAGGGGCTAAGGAAAGATAAGTTAATAGGATGGAATTAAGAGAATGAGAATAACTAATGGGGCATGATAGACCTAAGATTATGATGACAGGGTGGAGCTAAGATGGTAATAGCAAGCTGAGAAGCAGTTGAAAAGGCAGTGAAAGGAGGTGGGTGAGATGATTTAGCAATATAAATGGTCTTGTGGAAATGAGGCCAGAGTGCATTCACCCAGCTGTGAACAGTGTGATGAGAAAATATTAAGCTGAGTCATTTAAACAGTCTGAATAATAATAGTAATAATAAAAATAAAATACAGTAGAAAGAGTATAATACGGGACAGTGGTCTCCAACTGCTACATAAATGCAGGAAGCAGTTTAGCTATTTATTTTCAAAGTTGGAAACTTAATACCAAATAACCAGTGGAGGTTTAAATCATTTTTCTACTTGACACTTGTGTAACTAAGACGCAATTGTTCACTGGGCTATTATTGACCTGCTCCATCTTAATGCACCTAGGAAACTTTCACATTTAAGCTACAACTTTCAGCTAAGCTAGAGAAAAGCTCACTCTGCAAGGAGACTGGTTTTTTTCAGTGTCCAGATGTATGGAGTACCCAAAGTCCAGGTAAAATCTACTCTTTCTAAGCTTATGGTAAAAGATGGTAGATAGATGGAATTTGAATATGCACATAAGATTTTCTCTTTTATGGTTTTGAATTTTGTTGATTTTCATTTCCCATTAGTCTTCATTTAACCAAGCTGCTCGGAGAAATGTAGAAAAGCGTGTGCTAATTATGTTGCTCTATAGTGCTCGGGGGTAGCAAATAATGCATCTACATCTAACATACCATTCTACCTTTCCAAAAGAGTCTCAGAGGAGGATTTAGAGTTAAACCTGGGTTTTTAATGAGATAAGTGGAGGGAACCCTGAAGCCTGAACTCCGTCAACACATTTCAATTTATGGTCAGTATCTTAGGTATGGGACTATGAGAGACCTACAAACTAAGACCTCAGTTTTCAAAAGAAAAATACCACTTATTATGCAAGAGGATGTATCACCAAGCAAATTTGACTGGTTTATCAAGTTTCAGGTGAGATTATAATATTATCAAGAGAGGGGAGGATTAAGGAATAGACCAAAAATAAAACTCTATCATGCCAAGAAACTTATTACCTTAACATTACTCTTGCACTGTTATAAGTAATAGGGAAATAAAAACTTGAGGGAAAAGTTGAGTTAGTATTTCTGACAATAAATTTTTTCAGATGCTTGGCTAAAGCTGGTATGAGCTGTGGGCTTAGAGAGAGGAAAGAAGTCCACAGCTACCATAGGTCCATATGTCATGAGCTAAAGAGATAAGAACCAGGACCAACATGCATCATCTGAATTTGATCACTGCTCTAAAAACCATCAACTCCCACTCTCTAAAAGGATCTAAAGTCTTCGTGGTGGGTGTTTCCAGTGGAAAGTAGGATTTTGTATGTAGGGTTATCACAGTCTGATGTTGTTTCCCTACTCTAGCTAAATTTTTTTAAAAGCTTAATATTTTTTATTTTACTTATAGCTCTCTTTGATACTTTAATATTAACAAGAAGAACAGTCATATGTTTTGTGGGAGATATGAGCCTATAAGCATGGAAATTTATCTGTTTCATGATTGTTTGAATAACTAAACATGAGAAAGATGTATATATATATATTTAAAGTCTCCATGATGCTTACTATTTTTCCCCTTTAGAACGTGTTTTACCCACAATCCCCCACCCCATTCAAGGTCAGTATGATTTTTATCACTGTAGCTCTGTTATGGGTCATTCTCCATCATCTATAATGTACAAAGCATACAAAGGGGGAAAATACATTCACAAAATTCACATAAAGTATAAATCTTTTTTTTTCTTAAACCTTCAAAAGGAAGTCAATCAGTTGCTCCCTCACTTGGTGATAGGCATATAACAAGTCTGTCACCTGACCTAACTTCAGTTTGGTCAGTAGCTGGGAAGACAATACTAAACTTAGAAAGCAGCAACTAATATTTATTATAGGTAACTATGAGCTGACATATTTGAAACACAGCCAGTTAAATTCTCTAGCTCACAAAAATACAAATCCTCTGACCATCCTCACATTTGGAGGTTTATATAATACAATCCAAATCTGAAGTCATTGGAATTACCAGTAAAAATGAATTTATATACTGCCAAAGGTTAAACCCAACCAGATTAAAACAAGGACATTGCTTTTCCTTAAAAAATCTTGGCCAATTCACAGGTTTTTCCTTTCAAACATAACTATCTTAGAAAATTAAAAAAAAAAAAAAAAACAAGAAAAAAACACCAAGGTAGTAATTCTGTATTCCTTTTCATAAAACTTTCTACACACTCAAATTAAATATTGCCTTCTACATCACATTTAGATGCAAGTACAGCAACAACTTTCTAGCTTAAGGCTATTTAAAGGCAAATTGGCAAATAAAATTAAAACAATACAAAAAAAATCTGAAATGAAACCAACCTACCATTGAAATTAAATTCCAGAAAAGTGATTTGCAAATAGCACTCAAAGACCTGAGAAAAAATGGAAACTAGGCCATGCGGGGCCTAGTGTGGAAAAAATAAATCCAATTAAACAAGATTATCATACCCACTATAAGGGAAATGTGCTCAGAATTAAAGGTAGAAAGCTGCTGCTTTAAAAGTTTGAAGATGGATCATGTTTCATTAACACTTATCCAAACTAAAAATTAGAGCAAAATTGGCTGTAGATATTCAGAGTGTCAATAATGCAATGTTTTGCATATGTATGCATTCATATATATGCAAACTTATTTTAATTATATTTTAAATAAGGTTTGCAAAGTTTCAAGGATCAACTAGACAGCTTAATAAAAGAGTTATTCTTAAATTTTAAGAAAGGTCCAAACTATTTTGAGTATAAAAGCTTAGAAGAACTCCGTTGAATAAAAAACTTCCCTAAAACAATGAAATCTGTCTTTTAATCCCAGCCACTAAAAATAAGACTGTTAAAATATTCCTGTTTTTTAGACTTAACATGAAACTTAATGTTCATGGAAAATATCCCATTTTTGAATTCCTGACATGCCACAATTATTTTAAGACATGTATCTTCTAGTGTTGCTGCAGAGATTGACACCATTTTATCAGGTTGCCATCTTGCAAATATCTTGATATGAGAAACATGCACACACACATTTGTCCCAACGGATAATATTTCTAAAGAGGTCATGTCCCATCCAAGATGAGCTTTCTACAGTATCACTGTGACTCTAGGTACCCTTTGTGAGAGCAGTTCTACAGCCACAAACTCAAATGTTTATCTGATCAAGCATTATGATATGTGTAACATTGAACAAAGTGAAGCCTGACACCATTCCCAAAGGACGGCTGTCAGTTATTGAAAAACAGTCCGGACTAGGGATGGAACACTTGGGATTTTGCTGAACTTTATATTTCCCACACACTGAATTATTGATTGGAGAATGACCCTAGTTTGATTTTACATTGTAGGTAGACTGTAGTTAGCTTTCTTAGATCCACTAGTTTTTTAGAGAATATAGTTTATCTTACTACTAATACCTTGGGCTTCTGCTAGTGGAAATTGGAAAGCTGTTCATTGAGACTTGGGATAGCTGGTGGGTGAGATTGTTATGCCCTTCTTAAGTTCCCTGTTCTTTACAAGAACTTTAACTTCCTAGAAATCAAAATCACTTTTCTCCTCCTCTTCCTGATCAAGAAGGCAACCCATGTGAAATGCAGTTACCCATGTGAAATGCAGTTTCCCATGGAAAGAAACACTAACAATAGGATGCTTAACCCCCAATATGGTGCCAACTGACACCCAAATATCTACGAAAAGTATGCCTTTTCATCTAGTTATGTGGTCATAACTATAGTGAAGACACCTTCACTTAGTTAAATATTACAGATTGCCATCATCTATATGAAATCCTTAATTTTATCCCTAAAGTGTTAACATGTCTCTAAGCAACTAATTGATATAAATGGCCTGAAGAATTGTGAACTGATTAATTTCCTTAAGATGTTTTGAAAGCAGGAGAAAGTCACAAAGATCTTTTTCTGTCCTCCCATCATAAAAAAAGAGGACTTTCCCTTCTTATTTCCAACCTAACAGAAATACACATTTCATTTCAGCTGCTTCATTGCTAACAGCACTCATTGGAGGGTCTCAACCATCCCCACCCTGCACGCTGATCAAGCTGACAGGGGTGCACAGCAGAGTCACAGCAGGACGCAGTCCTAAATCCCTTCAAGCTGTGATTAAACAAAAACAAGGCTCAATAAATCAAATGCATTTCCCTTGGGTTTCCTTCATCACATTGCTTGATTTTCTGCAGTGATAATAATAATACTGGAATTACACCAAAGGGTAATTTGTATTGGCTGTGGCCAATCAGAAATTTTCAAATGTCCTTTTTTCCTATGCCAAAACCAAAACAAAACAATAAAATCACTAGCTTTCCCTGCTCCTTGGTTTAAAAGATATAAATAAAATAGTGTTTCTTCCTTGATCTGTTTCTGATAGGTGTTTTTTCCCATTAATTTTAATTTAGGTTTATTTATTCTGAAATGTCTGGAATTGCATAAATTTGCATAAATACCCCTGACTACATTGCTGCAGAAAATCCACTGAATTGTAAAATGAGGAAAGCATAGGCTCTAAATGTCTGAGGGAACTTTTCTCACTTTGTTAGGCTCAAATCATTTCCTGAGGCCTCTGAATACTGGGCAGTGACAACATTTCTTCTCATCAGCTTACTTGCACATGGCCCTTCTTCATAATGCAAGTGCACCCAGAGATGCCCTGACATTGAGAAGGACTGTGGGTTTGGAATGAGGCAAGGAAACCAGCCTCAGAAAGTTAAAATGAAGTGAAACGAGGGAAAAGGACAAGGACAAACAACCATTGTTTTGTTTTTATGACTCTCAAGCAAAGAATTCCTTTGAGCTTGGGGCTCTCTGGGCTCAATCAGCCAATCCTTTTCTGATTACTGCCACTTTAAAAACAAAACAAAACAAATCCTGGAATGTGTCTCACTTGTTTGCCTCCCATCTGATTATTTATCCCAAGTGAACAGCCTTTCCATTCACTAACCCCGTGTGGCAAGTGGGTTTGGGAAATGTTGAGATTATCTTTCAGGTTCAGGCATGGCACTGGGTTTGTTGACAGCTGCTTGCCATTCCGTCCCTGTTTTTCCATTGATAAAACGCATTGCACATGGCTGGGTTTGCATGATTAATACAGCTGTCCAAAGCTTTCTCTGAAAACAAAAAAACACCCCCCCCCCAAAAAAAATTAAAGTTAAAAAAATTAAAATCCAAACCACAAACAAATCAGGCTTGCAGAAATCTGGAGTCAGCCTGGCATGCTTCCTCCAAAGGGAGAGGGATGTTCTTATGGGCATCACAGTAGTCTGGCATCACAACAGCCGAATTCTATCTATAGTAGAAAGAGGAGAAGTGCCTTCCCTCACCTGGTACTCCCAAGAATGGGTTCTTGAAATGGGATAAAAGGAAAAATTGAGAAAAACCCTGAACATATCCCACACTGTGAAGATCCCCGGACAAATCTACAGTTTTATTTATTGTCCATAGGATAGCATCCTGGATATTAATAAGAAAATGCTTCTTTTCAGTTCCTTAATATAACAGTATTTCACCTTGTCTAATAAGGGTAATAATAATAATAACAACAACAATAGCTGACATAGTGGGCTTCTCATACCAATAAAATTCTAAGGACTTGTGCATGTATTAACTCTATTAATCCCCACAACTCTAAGAAAGTAACATGCATCTTTTCCCACACTTTTTAATGATCAAAGGACATTCAAATTTCAATCTACCCCTTGCTGCACCCAGACACATATATAGATCCATAGTACATTATAAATAACTGTTAAGTATACATTCATGTTTATTAAATATACATCTGTCCAATGAATTTAAAAGCATTTATTTTATGTATTATAATGTTTATAACACAAAATACTCAGTTACTTTGAATATCCATACACTTTTACACAGTCGATTTTCAAATATCCTCAACACACAGAGAGCTGTATGCCCAACTCACACAGATTTATATGAAAACATTCATCTTTAAAAACACGAGCTGAGCTATCTGGCATCAGCACATCTAATTTCACACATTTATTCAGGCTGATTTACATACACACCTCTATTAATCATGGATAATTACTAGCATTGTTCTCTGTAATTCAGTTTTTCCAACTGTGAAATGGGAAAGAAATTATATTTTTCATGCCTACAAGCTCAAAGTGGTGTTTTAAATAATGTACAAAAGAGAGCTTCAAGTTCCCAGAAAGAAAGCATATTGAATTTAAAATAATCATATTCAGATACACATATTTCTTATAATTTATAAAAGCACTGATATTTAGAGGTACGCTTGTATCATATTGCATGGACATTAGCCAGATATAAGTTCAGTGTGCCTTCATTATAGTTTGCTGCATTATGGATTCCAAGGATGTCTGAAATGCCCACGCTGCTACCAAGTTTAAATATGGAAGTATCCCAAGGCCAAATAAAAAATGACTTTTTATTATTCTTTTACCAATATCATAATATTACACTTCAGAGGAGCTGCAAAATTCCACGGTTCCTTATTATGTAGCACCCACAGATACACTTACACACTTCCAATGGATGCCCCGTGCCTGTTATGCACATTAGCACATGTCATACTAATCCAAAGTCATCAACCTAAAGCACTCGCCTTTTTGCTGGTCAAGGGTAGAAAGCGTGTCCTGGGAAGGATTTCAGTTTTTAAATATATCTCTCCTTTCCCACTAGCTGGCAGAAAAAAAGGGTCTTGTTTCTGCTGATAGAACCTGGGCAGCCATGTCAGCACAAATTTACCATGAGATCATTGGCCTTGATTAATACACAGGAAAATAATTAGGAGTTGACCTGAATAACTGATCCCCTGGCTCCTTTATTGGGAACAACAGTCTGATTTCCTCCTGATTTTCTTTAGTGGTTGGGAAGCAATTGGGATAGTTGTACCAGTATTTCATATGGAATCAGTAATTCACTTGTTAATCCAATGATTTAGACTCAACTGTAATAGTGAGGTGTGCTTCTCATTTCTGAGTCTTACCTCTTCCTGCCTCTCTACTCTTCCTTCTGCTATATTTCCTCAATTGTTCTTATTCTCTTCCTGTTAAAATTTGCTAGCAAGAATAAATCCGAAATTTATTCACACCATTATTTAAGTGACCAACAGAGGCTAGAGGTGTTATTTCTTTCAGAATTTACATTTAGCTTTAAGCTAAATGAATAAAAATCCTACAATGTCAATTTAAAGATAGGAAAATGTTTAGTCCTAGGACTCATTTCTAATGCTTTTTCCTTGTTTCCTAGTCTGGATCTGCCTACACCAGTCAGCCTTTCCTGGTGATCTTTCTCTACTTACACTTTGCTGTACTATTTAGATTTCTGGAGCCAATAGGAACTTGAAAATTAATACTTTTTTTTTGAAAATCCAAGCATACTCTAAATTTTAATTTGATGGAAATATTGCTCTTCTATGTGCTTTATGGAAAAAAAAAATCTTTCAAAGTAACAATTACATTTGGGGATTAAGTTTAAGTAATTGGCAGTCTTGTCTTTTTAATTAAAAGGAATAAAGCTGCCTAAGAAGAGCTCAGTGAGATCTGCAGTGAAAAAGTTGGCATGCTGCCCCAAAGGGTGAGAAGACCAGACTCCTGAATGGACAGAAAACTGACACAGGCTCCTCCAGTCTTTACAGCTCACCCCAATGGAGCTTGCCCTTGCTGTTTGTGTCACATGCCATTTGGCATGAGCATAGCAATCTGCTGTGGAAAGCACTGCATGTGGACAGGAAGGAGGTCCTTTTGTTGGGAGCTTAGTTCTGGGATCAGGGATATTGTATGGAGCTAGAGTTCCTAAAGGAAGTGGTAGTACTTAGAGTCGAAAACAAACAAACAAACATATATTCTGCTAAGTTTTGAATTCTCAGGACAATCCCAGCCTCTGACAAATGTCATATCATAGCACAAAAAGTATAAACTTTAATTTTAGTCTTTCCTTTGGCTTCCTCTTTGTTTTTCACCTGAAATTCCTGTTTCTGATACCTATATTTCTTTATTTTCTTTTTCTCTACATTTTCCATCATATTCACCTTGCATTACATATTATACATGTTTGCTTTGACATCCTTCAAACAAAACTAAAGGAGACATTTTGATAATATTAACACTCACTTTGAAACATTGATTACTAGCCATGCCAGCACCGTAAAGCCATTATATTATCCCTTCTATCTGGAGGAAATATTGACTTCTGAAGAGGCAAGCTAAAGTTTAGTAGCAACTTCTCTTAACAGTCACTCTATCCTCATGATGTCCTTTCATCATCAAAAGTTATTTTTAGGCATTAAATTAGGAGTGCCTTTCTGGGGTGGGGGGAGTAAAAACAATGTAAGAGATCCCATCTTATACTTGCCCTTATATACTGCTGGGAAGAAACACACCTGCCGAGTTAGAACACAGCATGACATAATGAGTTTGGAATTCCAATTTAAGGTGTTTGTATGTACTCAGATGCATGATGGGAGTAGGCACACTGCTCACTAGGGCTCCACGGAGAATTATCAGCGTATATCCACCACAAATCAATGTGGGGAGAGACCTTACAAGTCATTTATCATGCTTCCTAATTGGACCCTGGGGAGCCAGGCACCACCATAGTTTACTATATGTTTTGCTTATCATTGTGCTGATTGTATAAGAAAATGTTCCCCACATCTTTATAACACATATGTACATTTAGCGCCTAGACATTACCACTAACATAGTACCTTTACAATAAATCGTAGCTATCAGTCCATTCTACTTTTTATCTGCCCCATACTCAGATATTCTGGCTTAACTACCCACCTCTAAACCTTGTAGTTGCAGTATGACATATTTTACTGCCTAAGAGGACACCATTTGGGGCAACAGAAGCATACTGGGGCTTTAAAAAAGCTGTAAAAGCAGTAGAAGATAACTGTGCCTTGGCTGAGTGTCCATTCTGTTTACCATCCCATGCTCTTTAGCTCACACAGCAGTAAGCACTCCCAGCCATGTTCTATGTTGGAAAGTTGCTTGGCCATTCTAAAATGCTCTCTCAACTATATATGGGGGTTTTGTATGACTTGGAAGTGTGTGTGGGGGGGAGGGTGTTTGGAAGTCAGAAACAGCTAAAAAAGAAAAGAAAAAACAAAGCAGCAATTTGCCCTTCTCTGTTGAATCACAAGCTAGAGTAACTTGGGAAATGTGTTTATTTTTCTCCCTGGAGTTCCAGAACACAGGTAAGTTCATCATTGAAATCTGTTAAGTGTAGCAGTGCTAAAAAGATGGAATGATCCCATTCATTGGAGGCTGGTCTTCTGTTAGTAGATCAACCTTCCCGTTCTTACTCATTAATAGTATGACTTTTTATTCTGCACTTAGGTGTACTCTCCACTTACTTTTGCCTTTGCTTTGTATAGTTTCTTATAGAGTTCACATTTTCTTTTCTTTATGATTTCTAATCATTAGGAACACAAGGAAGAGCCTTCATTCTTGATGGGCAGTTAAAACTAGTTTTTGGCACAGGTTACTTTATTGGATATGCACGATATTCTGATAACACCATTCATTTACTCAAAGGAATATTATCCTAGTACATGCTCTGAGCTGAATCTTGGAGATGACAATGGAGAACAAACCAGGTATAGCCTCAGCGCTAATAGAGTTTACAGACCAGATGGAAAAAATACACAATGAAGCAAGCAACCACAGTAAACCTGATTAAGTTCATGCTAGGCTACCTGCCAGGTGTTTGGGGAGAAAAGAGCAGGGCACTTTAGCCATCCTAGGCTAGGCAGGGAAGGCTTCCAGGTGAAAGTGAAGTTTAAAAAGAAAAAAGGGGAGAATCGAGGAAAAAGCAGATCATCCCAGTGCATCCAAAGGTCTAGAATCCAGAAAGAACTTAACTGATAGGGATTTGACATTAAGTCTAATTAATTTTGAAGTCTAGAAAAAAAAACATTTTTTCCTGAATAGTTTTTTACTTATCCTCTTTTACATCTCTCCTGCTTTAAAAAAAAAGTAAGAAGGAAATGTGATAAAGTAGTGAAGTTAAAGGTGAGGGGCTTCTATAGGTAACAATAATCTATTGTACATTTCAAAATAGCTTGAAGAGAATAATTTGAATGTTCCTATCATTAAGAAAAAGTTAAAAAATATTTAAGGTGATGGATATCCCAGTTACCCTTATTTGATCTTTACACATTACAGGAATGTATCATTTAAATAAAAAAAGATGATTTCTAGGAAAAAAAAATAAAGCTTAGGGGTTAGGCATTTCCACCTCTATTACATTTTTAGGACAAGAAAGAGCTCACGTTGGATTGATTGGCTTGATTAACATGCACTAATACTACACACTGTGTGGTAAGGAGCACTATTTGGGGGCAGTTTTCTGGTGGATCCTGAGAGCAATTAACTAGCAGAACATCTAAAGAAAACTTACATATTTTCAGTATGGAAGATTGAGGGTAGGTTTATATTTTAGTTGTAGAAATAGTCAGGTCGTAAGGAACCATCAATACTTTCTGAGAGTTGTGCCAGAATCTGGCTATCATGCTATATTTGGAGTCAGTGACACAGCAGGAGTTACAGATAAACCAGACTTGTTACTGAGGCATCCTGGAACTCCACGGAATACAGTCCCTGGAGAGAGTCCAAAGCAGAGCTGCACTTACCAAGTCCTGCGCTGTAGCGGTTAGTGCGATAGAGGTGGGTCCAAAGGTAACTCAGAGCACACCGACATTTTTTAATCCCTTATCTTCTTATTTCCAGGAGCTTTAAAACCCCAGGAAATCTCACAAATTCACTTGTTATCTCTGCATTCAAATTCCTCAGGCTAGTTACCTCGTTTCATGGTATTATAATGTTTTTGATTTTGAAACTACAAAATGAAAATGCACATTACATTGATTAAAGACAGTCTTGCATCCTTTAGGATTCTGACTTTAAAATGTGTTCTAAAATAGAATTTAGGGCTGGGAAATAGAAAGAGAAGACCAGAAAAGACAAAGATCTCCAGAGACCTATCCAAACTTGTATTTTAAATCCTTCTTACCAAGTCAATAAATGAAGGTATAGACGGCTTTAAAGCATACATAAAATGTATGTTTTTAAACACAGAAAATATAATCTACTTTATGTTTTAACAACTAAGTTGAATCAACAACTAAGTAGACTTGGGGCTGGGAGGGGGCACTTTTTTAAATGAGTTGACTGGTCTCTTCATTGCAACAAGGGCCAAAGGGCCAGAATTGTACCCACAGGTACAATGGTGCATGTCTGCCCCTGAGTACTTTATAGACAGCTAATTCAAATCAATTTACTTCTGAAATTTTTCTAATTATATATATGTATATATATATTACATCACTACAATATATATTTTAGGTGGCATAGCCCAGGCAAGAAACCGTCTATTAAACTTAGCCTCTTGGGCATCTTGAACACTTTAATTCATTGATTATTAAAAATTAAACTTCTCAGGCTGAATAAGAAATTCAGGATGTGAGAAGCTGACTTGGTATAAGAGACTTAGTAACATCTTCTCTTTATGTTGAGAGTGTTTACTGAGACTTGTGCTTTCTGTAACCAATCCATATCACTGCCGACCACAGCCCACAGGAGTTCAAGTCAAATCATGCACCTATATACTTACTCTACAGGACAATTACCTGGTACATCAAGCCTCTGGTCAGAAAGACCGCATAACCCATATGGTATGTTCTTTATTGCATTGTCATTTCATGCTCTTAAGATCATTCTGCTTAACGAAATTAGGGCTCAGCCATCTTGCTTCTCTTTTGTTTTACTACATGATGTTATTCAAGTAAAAAATGAGGGAAAAAATTCAGTCTTTTTATAATGTTGTCAACCCAATGCCAAATAATTAGAAAGTGATTATTTTCTTTTCTCCACATTTGAGGGTTTTAAAAAATGCATTGATTTGTTTTTATAAATAGTTTTCTAGTCTGATAATAAATGTTATGCTTTCTCATTATGGAAGAATTTGAAAACATATGAAACTAAAAAGAAGAAAATAAAAATCCTATATAATCCCCCTCTTCAGAGATAACACCATTAATGTGATATAAATGAATGCTTTGTCTGAATGCTTGAGCTGTCAGTGTATTATAGAATGTTCAAGTTAAAAATCTAAAATAGCCGGGCCGGTGGCGTCGACGCGCTGTTAATCCTAGCATCTGGGAGGACGTGAGGCGGGGCCGGATGTGCTTCGAGGTCAGGAGTTCGAAACCAGCCTGAGGCAAGAGCGAGATGGTCCGTCTCTACTATAAACTAGAAAGAAATTAATTTGGCACAACTAAATTGATAAGGTACGAAAAAAAAAAATTAGCGGCATGTGGTGGCATGCCTGTAGTCCCAGCTAGCTCGGGAGGCAGAGGCAGCAGGATTGCTTGAGCCCAGGAGTTTGAGGTTGCTGTGAGCTAGGCTGACGCCACGGCACTCACTCTAGCTTGGGCAACAAGCGAGACTCTGTCTCAAAAAAAAAAAAACAAAAAAAATAAAAATAAAAATAAAAAAATAAATAAAAAAAAAAATCTAAAATATTCCCTATTTCTTATCCTCTCTGAGGCTGGGCATGTTTCTGTTACTTGTTCAAGGTGATAGCACAGGCAGACCCAGGAGCACCCTTCCCGCCCTGGCCGGGGTACGCTCCAAAGTGATGGCAACACTCAAAGCACTTGCAGGTCCAGTTCAAATCTGACTCATCTTACAAGAGGTTCCCCTGGTGTCACCTCCAAGATTCCCAGTAAGGGACCCCGTTTTGGGTGTGGGAGCTCATACATTCCCTCTCTAGAGTATTAATATTTTCCCTTTTATAGATTTGTCTTTATAATGCAGAAACTTTTTATTTAATTTTTTTTTTTCTCATTCCATCCCTTATAGAATTTTCGGGTTACAGAGGTTTGGTCATCCAATTGATGAGATTAAGGAATGAGGCTCAAATATTTCATTCACATTTTACATAAAGAAATAATACCAGCATTAATTTTAGTTCAGGTTTGTTCATCCATTCAACAAGGAGTTAGCACCATTTGTCTAGGGTTGCAATATTCTGGCAATTCTATCCATGCCTACTTCATTATTCACTACTAAATAGCAGCAAACATCTGAAGTTCATTTCTAGTAACGTTAAACTCTAGGAAGAAAAACCCTTAGAGGTATTTGATAGGAAAGTGCAAAATTCCTTTTTGGTACAAATCGAGCTAAGGGAGGCCAACTTCCTTTCTCAAATATTGATAACCCGCTAAGATTGCTTAGTTTTCTCAGCCAGTTTGATATATTCTCTTGGTTGCCAGAACAATGGTCCACCCATGAACTAAGAAAGCAGGAAGAACCATAAGGTTGTGATTCAGATCCATTTCTCTATGTTGACTCTTCCACCCCTTAACTAGACCCCGAATGATTACTGTTGTTCCCAGAGAGCATTATTATAGAAATATTAGGCATTGGAGTTTATGAATATCAAACATGGGAGAAAACCAGAAGCTCTAACAATCCAAATAGGAATCATAAGGCAAATTATTTTCTATGCAAAAAGCAAAAAGTAATAATACCTGTAAGTAGAAGCTGCTAATCCCTAAAGCCTCTGAATAGAGTCATGAAACCTGTGAGAAAGAAATTAAGAACTTTAAACATGTGGCTTTGAAAACTGAATTAATAAAAATGTCCCCCTTTTAAGCCATTATAATAATAAAGGTTTTATTTTTCAAAACCTAAGCTAATTAATTAATTAATAGGTCAGGGGACAAAACCCATGAAATTCCATAAGAGGAAGTTTGCGAATGTCATGCTTCACGCTCTTGGCATCAGTGGAGGAGGAAGCAGCAGGCAAGAGATCAAATCTTCTCCTTAATTTCTTTTATTAATTGTCTTAATAATTTTAACCCCTTCCCCTGTCTCACACAATTTCCAGGCAATTGGAGGATAAAAATCCCTTTGGAATTTGGACCCTCCCCCTTTTGCAAACACAAATTCTTATTAATTCTGGCCCTGAAAAAAAAAAACACCATTAATTGTTTTAAGTCCTCTAACTACAATAATATGCCATCTTCAAAAGCTGCAGCACATCAGAGGATTGGCCTTCTAAAAACAGTTGTGTCACACACAAAGGGAGAGTGTTTCCTTGTCCAAATGGCTGCAGCAGGTTAAAAAATGAGACATTTATTTTCAAGTAAACACCCTAAACACTCTAAAATTAGAGCAACTGTGCAAACAATATAAGCCTCCAAACTCTAGGTATCCTACATGTGAATGGGAATGAATGTTTATAAATAGAAGATTAGAGGCAAATTGTTAAGAGGCAACAGTCAAAGCACTGAATATCAATTCTTCTCCTTATGGAATTTTTGTAGCCTCATCTTCTCTCTGAGGTAGAATTCAAAGAAAGCAAGAATGCTAAAATTTTCCACATACTAAGATATGAAAGTTTCCTAAGGCAATTAGGGAGTTCCCAAACTACCATGTTTCCCCGAAAATAAGACCTACCTATAAAATAAGCCCTAGCAGGATTTTTAAGCATTTGCACAATATAAGCCCTACCCCGAAAATAAGACCTAGTGATGGGCGTGGCTACGCAGAGCATCTCCATAACCCATGCATTTCCTTGCAGAGCGGTAAAGAAGATGAGCAGCCCTTCTCATCTGCCCCACCGTGACAGCTACTATCCCAGAGGTGACCAGAAAGGTGTGGGCAGCCCCACCAACAAGGTTGTCTCCCCCTGTCAGGTTCCAGCCATCCTGTGCATGCTGCAAGCTGAGCCTTTGAGGGGAAAATAACACATCCCCTGAAAATAAGCCTGAGGGTGTCTTTTTGAGGAAAAAGAAATATAAGACCCTGTCTTATTTTCGGGGAAACACGGTATAAACTCTAGAGTTTCCAATGGAACACCTTTTACCTTTGCAACGCTCACTTTAATTTTTAGAAGGGAGGAGAGGA